GTTTGCGCATTAATTAGCTAGAAATCAATTAATTTCATATTTTATGTACTAGTACTATTATATCTTATTAGGTGGTCTTTTTGCATTTTTTTCTAACAAAAAGACCCTGCCGTACACCTCTATTTTAATTTCAACCGACGGTTAAATATTGTATCCCTTGGTTGGAGTTTTAAACTGATTAACGTTTTTCATCCTGAGGTAAATTTAACCTTTGTTTAATCGTTGGTTAAATCATTTGTAAGTGAAATAGATTAAACCTTGCGTCTTACCTCGGTGGATAATTTAACGGTTTCCTGCCGATTAGGAGTGCAATCAAGATTGAAAATGGCATTAATAATTGGATACATCAAATTCTGCGATTTCTAAGACTTCCAGTAATAACATATCTAAGTATTGAAAAGATATATCATGTTAAGGAGAAATGTTTGCAAAATAAGCCTATCAATCTCGAGAATGCAGAATTTACTATACAGTTTCGATTCCATGATGAATTTCAAACGAAAATTTGCATACAAGCTATTTTTCACCTAAGCAATTCAAATATGTAATAAAAAATATACCTTCATGTGCTACTTTAAGAGATACAAGGGGTCGAAATTTTAGACATTTAGTAAAAATTTCGGTTTTTTGGACATTTCTATCCTTTGGATAGACACACCTAACTTTTTTATTTCAACAGATAAACAAACGCAAACGGAATTTTGTAGAAACATTATGAAAATCTTCTTTACATCAATATGCTCTTAAGTACAACAGTTCTTTGGAAATAAATAATGTAAAACAAAGTTTCAGGATTTTAGAAAAAAAAACAGCATTTTTTGCGGTATATTTATCAAATTTAAAAAAAAATTAATGTTGACTTTTTCATTAAATTTGGTACACATAATCTTCATACGTTATCAAACCTAATGCTATTTTAAAAAAGAGGGGTCCATGTACTCGTTTTCAAGTTCAATCAGTCTAAATCATAAAGAACAGTCGAAAAAGCATCTTTTCCCGATATGTCACAGTTTGACGTCGCAAAAATAACATCTTACGTTAGCAACGTCATTACCTTCCCCATTGTTCCCTGTAACTGTACCATATGACCTTAAACGCGATATGATGTATCATGCAACAAGCTCAATCAATGCTCCTCACCAATGACATGTTCTCAAATGTTATATACCGATGCACAGTAACGGTAAAAGCGGATGCTTGATTTTGCGTTTAGAAAGTTCTATCACACTTCGCGGTGATTTAATTCCGCGATTTGTCATTTTTAATGTAGTTAAATAAGAAAAGCTCCACGTTTTACATATTAGCGACAATTTATTATCCCGCAATTTTTCTACTGGCGAAAGTCGCGAAAAAAGGCTCATAAAAATTATTTGGTTACAGTATATAAAAGAGTAGTTTAGAATATTCTTAATGTAAATTTTCCTTCTGATTGTTTTCAAATGAATTTGAAAAGTTTTCCATAATGCATGTAAATATTTTGTTTTAATAACAATAGCTAAACCAAGCTGGGTATGTCTATCAAAACCGCTGGCATACACACGAAACTCATCATTTCACCAGTACAGTGAGCGTACGTGCATACAAGGGAGAATATGATATTATTGTACGACGAGGACAAAATGGGCCAATTGTTGGAACGAAGCATGTGACACTTGGTAATAGTGGACTTTCTCTGACAATCCATGTCACAGGACAAGGTATATAAACTCATCATAAATACCAGGATAGAAATTGTGTACGCTTATCGTGCGTGTCGTCTACAAAAGACCCATCAGTGACGGTCGAAACACAAAAGTTAAAAAGGCCAAATAAATTACAAAGTTGAAAAGCATTTAAAATTTTCAATTCCGAAAGGTTAAAGCTTATAAGTGTTTCCTATTTCATCGTAAGCAACTTTTAAACTAATATACTTAACTCACTGCGTGAAATATTATGGAATACTTTACAATTACGTAGCTTACACAGATAGGTTGGTCGGATGTCCATAAATTGATATGACCGTTATTTTTTTAAATGAATTTTAAAAACAATGATATAATAGTGAAAACTCAAAACAAAAAAGGGTCGACTATGTGAAGGGAAATATTCCCTATTTTCCCTCCAAGGAATTTGCCTAGTAAGTTAACGGAGTCGTGTTTGCATCTAAAACACGAAATTGAAAGAGGACAATTACAGAAAGTACAATGTGGGGAAGTGTTTACTGTGACTAAATTTTCTGTTAGAATATATTTTACAATGCAAAAATGAAAAGTGCAAAATTATCTCCCTTTTGTTGTATAAATCGGCGGAAATAGAATCCATGCACATGTAATTAGTTTAACAAATGTTCTGATGAGTGGAATGAAATGATGTTTAAACGAATTTTTATTTCAGGGCAAAATTACGCTGTTTCGAGTTATGCAATTGGATGAAAAATGACATCATTGTAGATACGAAGAAGAGAACGTTGAATTCTTTGAAATAAAAATACAAAATTCACCATGCAAATGTTCGATTAAAAAGAATCGGAAGAGATACCACAAGAAAAACAACAGACCAAAAATATATTTCTGTCTGTTTTGATATCCGAATATGTTATTGAATATGATAAAAGAAATAAATGGGCTGTATATGTCGACGAGACGGCAACCGAACGCAAAACGGAAGATCTACAGGTCAATAAAGTACGACATACAAAGGCATTGAAAACGTACCAAGCAAGTCCTGCCAAATCTTACAAATGCCAACTAGTCTTTGGACAGATTGACCTAAGTGTCGTAAAGGGTACTAATGTTTATTTAAAATAATATTTATAGAGAATGTCTGTCATCAAGTTTCATATGTTTAGACGTATATAAAATAAAGTTTGAAACTTGATGTGACGGCATGGTAAGTAACATTTTCATCCTTTACGACAAACAAAACATATCTGATCTGAAAGGTACACCATCAACTTGCCACTATTCATTATGAACGAAGGTTTTGATGGGGTTTGCAGAATAGAGAATAATGGGCAAAAAAGCAGAATGGTGGGCAACATATATAAAGAATAGAGAACAATATGCAAACAAAAATATAAAGAATAGAATATAACGATATGCTTAAGAAATAAAGAATAGAGAATAACATGCAAAATCTATAACAAATAGAGAAAAATTACCTAAATTTTTTTTTAAACTGCAGAAATGAAAAAAATACACATTTTGACCCTCATGTAGTTGTGATATAACGCTAGACTAAACCGACGAGGAAAGATTACTCTTTTAACGAAAGCTATATTTTGTATAGGCTAGTTGGTCGAGTGATCAGCTAAACGTATCACATTTATTACCACTGGGTCAGTACCGCTCGTTGGAATATAAGTCTACCGTGGTACCACAAGCACAGGAAGTAGCCATGCAAATGTTCGGTATTGACATCCGTGTACTTGCACACAAGTGATTGAAAAAACACGAGGCAGACGAAAAATTTCTCTTGTTTGAAATTTAAAAAACGTTTAACGGTGAACTAATTTTTGTCCTTGCATGTGTTTTTCCGGGTTAGGCTATACTTTTGCTCCTTTTCGATTATATCAATTTTCAACGTTTCTGAGATATTCCGATTATCTAATATTTTGATCCAAAGCATCACTGAAGAGACACTAATTGTCGAAATGCGCATCTGATGTAGTAAAATTTGTAGCAAGAGCTTTGGTATCGCTACCGCGGATTTTGATATACGTATAATTGCATAAACTTGCAGTATAACCTCAATGAGTGTGTAGATGTTCTGATGATTTGAATAAAACTGTTCGTTTAAAATTGCTGTGAAATACTCTCATCTTTAATTCGTCGTGTGAATCTTTTATTGTTATATATAAAAATAAAAATGTGTGGTATGATTGCCAATGAGACAATTCTCCTCCAGAGACCAAATGTCCGATAAATAAACAACTATAGGTAACCATACGGCCTTTAACGATGAGTATGTCCACTTTTGATGAAAATGGACATAGGTATGTATTTGGTTTCCAACCGCAATGGTCTATCTCCTTATACAACTATAATACGATATTTCTACACTCTAAGAGTTTTTATCAGAACTACACTGTTATATCACCACGTTCCCATTGGATTACAATAGCTTATTCATCTAGTTATTTCAAAGAAAAGGATTTTATAGTGTTGTATATATCCACTGTTTTCATTTATTTTTTTTTTAATTCGCCGTACAATACACAATAATTGTTTTGGTCTATTAATATTCTGTAGAAAACATCTTTTAGACAGCAATTTTCAGTAAATATGAAGTCACAATATCGTCATCTAAATAATCGAAAGAATCAAAAACAGCGGAATATCAGGCCAATAGGGCGACCGAGGGTGATCGACCTCGACATTTTCTGGTACCAAGTGCACAATTTTGAATTATAACACAACAGCCTGCCTCTGTTTGCTACTTGTTTGCATACAAACACTGTATATCAGAAAACCGTTTCATAGCAATAACCTTATCCAAAACGGTTGAAATGGTTTAAATTAAAGGAATACCTACCTTGTTTAATTACTATAATTTCCGGCGGCGATGATACACGCTGATCTTTTAATTGGTATACGCTAGCGCTCCGGAATTGTGACTGATTTTTTTAACTGTGTTGTAGGACATCCTGGTAACCGGTCAAGTAAGAGCAACCGAAAGAAGTAAAATCAAACTTATAATCGATGCTATTTGGAGAAACAGTTTCCGATGATTTTGTCGTATAAAAGAAACATAAAACAGTCCCCATTCCCCAATTGTAAAGATTGTAAGCTTGATTTCATTTCAGTAAGTCACTTTTGCCTAACCGAGTATCAGGATGGCCTACCACAGAGTAGGTAGGTTAACATTCTTGCTCTACTTGTGGCGCCCATCGTGTTGCTCTCGGATTGTATGTAAGTTTACCATGTTTCCCATTGGTGACCTTCGGCTGTTGTCTGCTCTTTGGTCGGGTTGTTGTCCCTTTGACATATTCCCCATTTTCATTCTCAATTGTATTGCTCTACTTGGGTCAAGATATGCAATATATTCCATGTTGTCGGTAGTTGTAGCCTTTTCCTCAATTCCTCTGCCCATATCGGAAACGTGGATATTTATGATGGCTTGTTTCTAAGCTTGGACATTTTCACATATGTGGTTGAATTTTCGGGGAACGAAGTGAGATTCATTTTCCCGTAATTTATCTCACCCGAATAGCCCTTGTGATGCGACTTCTCCAGGTAAAAAAAAAAAATATAAAAGAAAAAGTTCTTTTGAAAATTTATTTCTTTGCATACATTTTGTAACTCCATAGTTTTTACACCTTTATTTTATGGTCCACTGCTCTTCAAATGAACACAAATGGTTAAGCTGGGTTATTTGTATCACTGCATAGAGGTTTTTTTGTTCACGCACTATTTTTGAGTTACTAAATTTAAGGCGCATTAGGGATATTGACCCACTTGTGGCGTCCGTCATGTTGTCCGTGTGAAATACAAATCCAGCGATAAGTTTCCCTTTGTAATATCTAAACCTTTATTAAATAATTCAACAGAATAAATATCAATAAAAAGATAAATATATACAAATTTGAGAAAAGATATTATTTTGAACAAGTCATTAATAATGCGTTAAATATAAACAAATATGAATTATTATCTGTGAAATACTTGAAAATGACTAGCAATAATAACCAAATATTATATAAATATAAAAAAAAAATTCAATTCACCTACACGATGTATACACAATTCCGTATCATTCACGATTTGTACAACACGAGGATCTGGAGGGGGAAGGGGCCTTCAATTCTGGGTTTTTTTTAAAACTATTTTTCATAAATTTTGCACATTAATCTCTATTTTTAATATTTTATCACCCAATTATTCTCTATTCCTTATATTATATAACACGATTATTTTATGTTCTTTACATTTCATCATCTCATTTATTAGTCTTTATATTTTATCACCACATCATTCTGTATTCTTTATATTTTATCACCCAATTATTCCTTATGCTTTATTTTGTTTTTTGCTTTTTTTTTCTCTAATAATTTTTATTTGTTGGTCAAATATTCTCTTTTTTCTCATCCAGATCCTCATATTAAAGTGATTAGTACAAGTTATTGGTAAATTGTTTGACTTACGCGAAGTATTTCCCAGTGCTGATTGGAGTGAAATATGTTATAACAATGATGGACAAAAAACTTTTTCTTTTGATATTTTAAATCGTGGAACAATCATTAACAAGATAGTTTGATATCATGTACAATAAACATAATTTGTTCCTTCCAATTTCGTTCTATTACTAGTACTTTAAATAAATATCAACGTCATACCAATTACATTCCTAACACGTGAAAACTCCATTGGCAAACAATTGTTCGTGTTCTATATAGTTATACTTTCAAAGATTAATCTACAAGAACGTATAGCTCTTTCGGGAATCAATTTCTTTTCCTTTTCTTTCGAGAATTTCGTCGTTTAACGCGGTTTGCACCAACTTGAAACGGGTAATACGATTTAGATGACACAGAATAAACTTCCACACGACCATGATTCCACGCATAAAGCTTCTTTTGAATTGGATTGTAGTCCAGCATGTAGTTCTTAGCAAATTTATCATCAATGGTGTTTGGAAATATTATTTGATTGTCTTTAAGAACCTTGCTACCGCCGTTATTTGTATTAAATGAATATTTGATGAAAGTTGGGATATTTTCGTACGAATCCGTTGCATACATAATTCCACAAATCATAAATGCATTTCCAACTTTTGTTTTTGGTATATTTGTTACCCACGTCTCCAAAATCTCAAGTGTGTCGTCATTAAGTTTTACTATAACTATATTCCCGTTGGAATATGTTGTAGCATAAATCACCCATAATCCTTTTTCGTCTACAGCAAAATCAATGTCTGAAAATTTTCCACTCTGGTATGGATATTTGTTATGGACACCTGCGTTGTCCAGAGCGATTTCTTTCTCCCACTTTTTCTGAAGTAAGTTATACTTAACAATTTTGTTGCTCATTCCCTTATGGCAAAACAAAGAGTTTTTATAAACGACATGTCCTGTTCCTTCACAAAAGAACGGGAGTTTGTGTGTTCCTTTCTCGACGTCATATTTGAGCAGTTCCAAAGATTTGTACTGGAATATTTCGTTGATGTCACTGTAACCATAGGTTACCCATATTTGACCACCAGGTATCGGGTCTACTGCAAAGCTGCCTTGTGCTATCCCAACAGGAATTTCGGTGTTATCGCTTCTGATTGATACCAGCTCTTGTGGGCAGAAATCTACCAAAAAAAAATTGTGTGATATATTACGCCATGATAATTGGAATAGGGCTAAAATAAAAACTCATCAACGATACCAGGCTTATAATTTTGAACGCCAGATGCGCGTTTAGTCTACAAAAGACTCGTCAGTGACGCTCGGATCAAAAAAATTAAACGACCAAATATAGTCTGAAGTTGGAGAACAATGAGGACCAATCATCCAGAAAGGTTATGCCAATAACAGCTAAAGTGATATATTCCTTGGGTAGAAAATCCTAAGTCTTTCAAACAATTCAAAGTATAAAAAAAATAATAAAACTATAAATATAGCAAATATAATTGTAAATATTCCGAGCATAAGCTGCATAAAGCAGTAAATGATCAAGAGAGAGATAGCAAAAAACATATTCAGGATTCAATTGAAAATGTTTTAAATCGATAGTATAAAGATACAAGAAAAAATAACATCTGGACAAAGTAGGGGCAATTAAATCGTAGAGAACCTTGAAGTTACCAAGATATACACAGGAGTGGTAAATAATGAGGATGCTTTCCGATGGTGGAAACCGTGTGGTACTCCAACTAGCGGCTTGTTTGTATTCTTGGTTGCCTTGTGTGGTGGGATTGCTGTCTAATTAACATTTACCGGAACGTTTTCAATAGGTAATACATGTACATTGTTAACTACACGAATGATCATGTTTGACATGATTGATTGATTGCTGGTTGCTTAATTTCTAGTGGCAAAAACATGCATGTTCAGGACGAGAACAAATTAACAATAAACGCAATAGCAATAAACAGGTCCTGCAATAGAGACCGTCCGGGATGAAGGTCGATGAAATTTTGACTGCCACTGGAAAATGAGGGTATATTGGATAGGGGCAGAAATGTTGCCTTGCAACAGACCACATACGGACCCCTTAAAGAGTTTTTGCAAGGGTTCACAACGTGCAAAGATTGTGGCATTCTCTTTACACGAGGCATCGGATTTAACGTCCCCATTCTGACCGGACGTGACTGCGTACTTGAACATCCCGTACAGCCAACTTTGGCTAGCGTTTTACTACCGGACGGAAAAAGACCTGTAGCGACCATATTTCTTTACCCTAGTCACCCTTGGGGGTTGTTTGATATAAGAAAGTTGATTATGAATTGATATTTAAGCTAAAGACTATAAAGAGCCTGCGTCAATCATTTGGATTTTTGGATCATCCAAGAGCACCTTCAACAATGGCCACTGTCTAACACTGTAGAATATAATATAATTCGAGACTAAAATCTCTTATTTGTCAAAAAAAAGTCTTGCTGATCTTTTATTCCGTTTAGTTTCTCTCTATCTGTTATTGCATTTGACAAAAACACAAAAATGGGAAAACATTATGATTTGAGGGCAATAACTCCCATAAGGATTCAACTAAAAATTTCGACTATGTTGACCTTTTTGTAGATCTTGTCTTGTCTTGCTGATGATTTTTTTTATTTCTCTCTATATATCATTCATTTCTATATAATAGGCAAACAAGCAAAACAATCGTAAAAATAGTTATTTAAGGGCAATAACTCATATATGATTTAGGTCAAAAGACATGCTGACTTATTTGTAGAAGGGAGAGAAAATAAGATACCAAGGGGATACTAAAACTCATAAGTCGAAAACCAACTCACAATGCAATAGAAAAAAAAGAAAAACGACAATAAAACAAATAAGTCTACACAATACAAGACGGAAAACTAAAGACTAAGCAACACGAACCCAAACAATAACCTGGGGTGATATACGACATTGTTTTACTGGTCATTTTTGCTTTAAAAATTTCTATCTATCTATTATAGTTTTCAAGATAATAGGAAATAATGAACAAACATTGTGAAAATCGTCATTTAAGGTCAAAAACGCTAGAAGGAGTATTCTGACGATTTTAACCATGTTTACTTATTTGTAGATTTTGTCTTGCTGATAATTTTTGCTATTGGAATTTTCTCTCTATCTATTATAATTTTCAAGATAATAGGGAAAAAATGCAAAGAATTGATAAAAATCTTCATGTAAGGGGAATAACTGCTATAGGGAGTTGCATTACGATTTCTGCTGAGTCGACTTATTTGTAAATCCTGTCTTGTTGATTGTTTTTTCTATTTATAGTTTTTGTTCAACCTATTATAGTTTTCAAGATAATAAACAAAAACAATTGGTTAAATCGTTATCTAAGGGCAATAACTCCTGAAAGTAGTCTTCTGATAATTTTGGTCACTACTATTTGTAGATGTTGTCTGACTGATCATTTTTGACATTTAAAGTTTATTTCTATCTAAGTTCAATATAATTTCAAGATAATAAGCAAAAACGAACAAAATTAGTAAAGATTGGCATCTTATGGCGTGAACTCCTATACGACTAACAGTTTTGATGTAAATAAACAGTAGGTAAATCTTAATAATTTAAACATTTTACCCTGTCAAATTTGCAATTTCCCCTTATGTTTTTTAGTCATGTTGGCCATGTTGGTTGCCATGTTGAGTCATTCGATACATTTTATTAACTAGATACTCAAATGGTGATTGTGGCCAAGTTTGGTTAAATTTGGCCAAGAAGTTGCAGAGGAAAAGATTTTTGTAAAAATAAACGGACTACGACGACGAACGACGGACGCCAAGTGATGAGAATAGCGCACATGACCATTTCTATGTAATATTATACACCTATTGACTGGTTATGCGGGTAATAGCAAGTTTGTTATCCCTGAGATACCAACTATTGCTCGAGGCGAAGCCGAAGGTAATAGTTAGTATCAAAGGGACAACAAACTTGCTATTACACTCATTACTAGTCATAAAGTGTTTTATTATACCGAACAAAACAAATTTCTAAAAAGACTACATGCATCATTTGGAAAAAAACCAAATAGTCACATAAACATGAACAAGATGAACTATCAGGTTTTTTTTTGTCCGTGTGGTATTTGTCAATATTTTATTTACTGTAATCAAGACCAGGAATCCTGTAGTGGAAATTCACGCTAGCTAAAATGTATAACCGTACACCAAAGTAATTCCAGATTATAAAGACGACGACAGACCATAACATACATTTGTCATGGTTTAGTTCTTAAAATATGTCATGTAGATTTTCTTTTCTTTTTTATTAGCTTCTGGTAAGTAATATATAAATTTGAAATTACGACGACAGACATATACACATACACATTCATACCGTTTACGATATGTTTTAGTTTAACGTTGCCAAGCTCACAAATCCAAGCAGAATAGTCAACGACGTCATTGTTGTTCTATGAAAAATTAGTATGAAAAAGTACGGGAAATATGTTTATAAAACTATTGACCTGGGTAATAGTCTTTGAAACTATTGACTGGCAAATAGTCTGTAGAATGAAATAGCACAAATATTTCATTCTTTTTATATAGAAAAAACATACTGAGGTATAATAAAATTTTACATGTATAATGGAAAGGGGGTAGTACCGATTTTCTCAAGCAGAATATATTTCACACCTAGGTCATTTTCAGAAAGTCTTTCAATCTGGGTCAAAATTCAGTGTATCGTAACTTCATGATTGTCCTTTGAGCTTTTTGCAATATTTTGTCTTATTTCTAAACATAGGACTCATACATGTTTATTGATATCCGCAGTTTTGATAGATTTTGTGAAATTATAATGGAAATAAAGCTTGGTATCATCTTGCAAGCGAATATAAATTATCTCATTTATGTAGACGATGTATTTTTCATGTTAAAAGTTTATTAAAAGTATATAATAATTAAAACAAGAATGACAAAAATGTGTGAGCTTTGTAGGAATTCAGGGTGCATGATGGGTATTGCTCTTGTTTCACATGCTTGAAAATTGACCTGTAGGTATCTTTTTATTTTTTGTGTCGTGTAACATGTGTAAATGTAAATACATTTACAATTAAACTGTCTTTAGCAGAAGTGTGTAGCTCTAAATAACATGTATGTTTGTTTTAAGGAAATATGTAACGTTGTTGAAATAAGATTGAAGTTATTTTTATAGATTCTTTAATTAGATATAAGAAGATGTGGTATGAGTGCCAATGAGACAACTCTCCATCCAAGTCAAAATTTATAAAAGTAAACCATTATAGGTCACAGTACGGTCTTCAACACAGAGCCTTGGCTCACACCGAACAGTAAGCTATAAAGGGCCCCCAAATACATGTATTTGTTTTTCTTAAATTGCTAAACATTTCACAGCGGTATAACATGTTACTTCAATTATTCTTCCCTTAGTTTATCTATTTTGTATTTACATTGTATCATAGATCAAATTGATTTGTTCAGTGTATGTTCACTGGTGTTAATATGTCTTTTGATTGAGTTAAGCCATTTCAATTGATATTTTATAGTGTGTCTTTCTATGTTGTGATGTTACACTATTGTTTCAGATAAGGGTGAAGGTTTGGTACCATTTAAACGTTTAAACCCGCTGCAATTGTTTGCACCTGTCCTAAGTCAGGAATCTGATGTTCAGTAGTTGTCGTTTGTTGATGTGGTTCATAAGTGTTTCTCGTTTCTCGTTTTTTATATAGATTAGACCGTTGGTTTTCCCGTTTGAAAGGTTTTACACTAGTTATTTTTGGGGCCCTTTACAGCTTGCTGTTCGGTGTGAGCCAAGGCTCCGTGTTTTGACCTATATTGGTTTACTTTTATAAATTTTGACTTGGATGGAGAGTTGTCTAATTGGCACTCATACCACATCTTCTTATAACTATTCGAATTTCAGAAGGTTTTGACAACTTTCTACGTTTGACCCGTGAGTAAAACAAATACACTGAAAGCACTGTGAAGCATTTTTGATTTCACATTTTAAATAAAAAATCCAAAAATTTTACTGTGCAGCGCATTTCTCTGTTTTTAATTTAAATGAGATAATGAATAGCACCATTATAGAGCAAATATTTCTAATTTCTATCTAACATAAAAATAAATATACAATATTAGGTCAATGTCACAAAAATATAAACTTTTTTGTATGAGGCTGAGAAACAGTTTTGTGCCGAATACAAAAAAAAATATATTTTTCTGACATTGACCTTATATTGTTTGTATACTGCAACTTAGATTAATACATTGATAGCTATTTAAATAGAAACTCTAATTTCAAACTTATTTTCATCCCCTTAATGAACCCCTGATTGTGGAAAAGTGATCCATGATGAAATTGACATTGTACAAAATATAGCTGTGGTACTATATTTAGGAAATAAACACAGCTAGTTGCAGTATAAATAAAAGGTAATCATATACATGAAACCATTTTTCAGAGTAGTAACAGCTGTAAAGGAATATATGACCGCTTCAGTAAGAGATTTATACTATTATTGTATACATACATAATTCAGTAATGTTCGATAACGAAAATTTAAAGAATATAAAGGAAAAAAAGGAGATGTGGGAATACCTTAACGAGACAGCAACACAACGACACAAAAAATGACACATTACCCATAATGCACCCTGAATCCCAACAAGACTCACACATTTTTGTCATTCTTGTTTTAATTATTATTTACTTTAATTGTAGCACACTTGAAACAGAAATTGATTTCAATCAAGGCTCATACAATTTCATTCTGGATTTATTTATTTATTTACTTTACATTTGAATGAACAGTCAATTTGAAGGGGAAATTGGTCGTCTTTTAATGACCGTATTCTGGTTACTATTATCATTTTCAGTTTTATTCCAGTGAATAGTTGCTTAAATTAATGTTTCGCTCAATATCAAAGTTTAAACTCCATTTACATTGCGTTAAAAAATATCATTGACTTATCTTATCACTTAACTCCTATGTACCCCTGGTCTCTCCTTCTGAAATTAAGAGTCAAACTAGCATTTTAATGACGCGTTTTGATTGATAATATATATCAAGCAACTTTTACACATCTGCACATTGATTATGGGCAATAACGTTCCATGTTGCCAGGCAAATAGCGACGAACATTATAACTTACAACGCACTGAATTTTTTTAGTAGGCAATGAACTTCAATAGTATTTTTAAACGCAGTAAAATAATGAGGTTGTAACTTACCAGTTTTGCGTTCAATTTTAGTCACATTTGCCTTTGCCAAGCTTGCCAATATAAGTAAAACATCCTCTTGAACTTTGTCATTCATAGCTAACTGACTTCGAACTGATTTTTGCGCTGCTGTAGCAACAGATGACATCATCTCGACCATTTCTTTCATTTCGGCATTAAGTGCCAACATGGCGTGTTGGAGGTACGTGTACTGATTCTGCAAGGCTGCCACCATTGATTCTCTCATCAATGTAGACGTCGGTGGATACTGTTTTATATTTGTAAGATCATTCCTTAAGTCACTGTCCCCAGACGCTAAAGTCGCAGTTATATTTTCTAATGTCCCCATACGTGTCCCTATGGTAGACTTCATTCGCTTTAAAAGTCTCGCGGCATCTTTCAATTTTTTGGTAGATTTACTGCTAAAACGATCCGGTAACTGATTTTTCACGTTTTCGTCTGTTTCGAACCACAATTTGTCATCCGGGTCTTGAATAAGACTTATTGCACCATCTTTTTCTTTGATAGTTAGAGACACATTTCTTGAACATGATACGTAGATTAGATTATGTTCCATATCAAATTCGTACGTACAGTCGTCATTTTTCACAGGAACAACGGCAAACACTGAACAAAAAAGAGTGAATATGAAAATTCTTCGCATTTTTTATATTTACAATATTCTCTGTTAACGAATCTGTTCTTACATTGTTCGTTCACAATTAGTACAATGATAATGCGTTGATAAATTTGTAGAATTGATTTTACTTAGATATTGTTTCAGTTTCCACTTTTTGTTTGATTCTGACATTACCCAAAGTAAACCAAATTGTTGTTAGGCCATTTAATTTCATAACTGTTGAGGTAATTCACTTTAAGCGCCAGAACAATTACATAAATTGAAGCATATGGATTTATTGCAATTATGATTCCATTTCTACTTGAAAATATCTGTCAGAGCGATTAATATCCAAATAAATTGTTCAGCCAAGAGAGTGCAACTGGGATTTAAATTATTCATTTATCTAATTAAGTTTACCAGTATGAGTATACTAGACAATAGAGAAGGTAAATACAATTGAGGAAAATCGATGTCTGCTTTCAACAAAGTACGCAGTTTTACGGTAGAGTTGAGTTACTAGCAGTACTAATATTTTCGAACGTAAAATTATGCCACTTTAAAAGCTATATAATGTAAACATTTCCGGCCTACATGAAATTGTATGCGTATTTACTTAATGTGTTTGATGTATGTGTGTTTGACGTCCAGTGACAAATATTTCATGCATACACGATCAGGATGAGAACATTGTAATGTATTATGAATAAGAGCTATGCTTTGTACTAGAACGACACACAGAGTGGGACGTTTAACGTTCTATTTTACAAAGTAATAGCACTAGCCCACCGAGGCGGTAAATTTTTGAAAGATTTACTGGGGAAACAGTATTTTGTGGCATTATGGTTTTTTTTTTTGGTTGGGGGAGGGGTGACATTATGAAGCTAAAACACATTCGTCTAATCCCTTTTTGTTGCGACACTAATAGTCAAAGAGATGCTTTAATAGCTATAAACATTGAAGAGATTTTTGTTTCAAATAAAAGGTAATATGAAAATATGCTAACACAGATAAGATAAGATAAGAAAATTTCATTTTGATTCGGCATGGTTTAAACATACAAACATAAGCTCTTGAGAGATTTTCACCGAATATATAAAACAGACACATAAAATAAAACAGATATACATACTTGGATGGAGAGTTGTCTCATTGGCACTCATACCACATCTTCCTATATCTATATACATACACATACAGACATAGAATGAATATGATATACATGCAAGGCAATCAAAGCATACATATATAAGCAGAACATATAAGCACCAATAAAATGAATAGAATAGCCATGCAAAGCAATCAATATCATTAAGCACTATAAGCAACTAAAAAGTAAATGAAAATTTAAAAGCTATATGAGAACAAATTAAAAAAAAATACTGCTTGCATGCACTACATCTACATTCTGATCCATTCCAGGACTGAATTAAGCTTTTAAACAGGGAGAAGTCATTTTCAGTCCTGAAATGGTCAGGCAAGCTATTCCATAATGTAGGAGCTGCAAAATGAAAAGAGTTTTTGCCAAAAGAAGAAGTTCTTACCCTTTGAATATCCAAAATGTTACTATACTTGAAAGAATAATTAGTTTGTGTTTTATTTACCAGAATATTGAGACAACAGGGAGCTAGATTGTTAAGAATTTTGAAAGTTTCCAATGCCATAGTCCTAATACGACGGATCTGTAGAGAAGACAGCTCAGCTCTTTGTAATAATTCCAAATATGACGAGGTGTAATCGTCATAGACAAAACGAAGTGCTCGTTCCTGCACTTTCTCTAGTTTTTTAGTGTTAGTTTCCGAGCAAAAGTGCCATGCCAAAGGGCAGAAATTAAAGTTGCTTAAAATAAATGTATGAAATATAGTAATTTTATTTAGCCTAGAAAGGTATGGTCCTAAGCGTTTTAAAACACTTAGTTGCTAAGCTGCCTTTCTACAGATATTTCCAATATGGATGTCAAATGTTAGTTGATAGTCAATTTCTACACCCAACAATTTAACTATTTTTTCACAAGTTAATTTTGAATTTTGAACTTCAATTGTTGGGTTCATGTCAAAAGTTTTCTTTCCAACTGCAATTACTTGAAACTTGTCAGGATTGGCTTGCATTTTATTTATCCTAAACCATTCTATCAGCTGATTTGACTCCAGTTTTAGAGTTGATATAAGATTGTCATAATCAGGACTTGAAAAAGACAAAGTATTGTCGTCTGCATAATTATACAGCGAGCCATATTTTATAAAATAAAAAATATCATTTAAAAATACGCAGACATAGACTATGTATCCACATATTAACTTATTGAATGCATCATTTTCAATTCGACCACACAATTATCCAAAGCCCAATTTCTATTAAAAAACTTTGATAAATCATACAAACAATTACAATAATTTTCGATATTTAATTTCCGATCTAAAATTAAAAGATAAGAAATCGACTTCAAAACAATGCAAACACACGTATTATACAATAAATGTTTGCAATAGGACTCGCAAAACATATAATAATTTCGATTCAAATTAAGTAATCTGGACAGAAAATATATATCTACATTGTATGCTTTTATTTTGGGAATCTTCGGTTGTAACATTCCTTCATTAGCAAAGAACAAAAACGTAACAAAAAGAATACCCCCCCCCCCCCAAATCCAAATAAAAACACAAAACAAAGAAATACAAAGCATAACACAAAACACAAAAGAGAAAAGGAAAATAAAGAAAGACAGAAGACTGACACACAGACGGACATTGAAACGACAAAAAATACTCAAACAAGCAACATGCTGATTGATGATGTATGGAGTTCATAACTTTTTTGAACTAATGTGATAAGGTTCGACATATTGATATATAAGTATAGTAAATGTCGTCAATGATTTATTTGTTTGGTCAGACTGGTAATTGTCTTTTAAAAACGAGGGTCAGGATGGGGTTTACGGAATACAGAATAATGATCCTATACTGCAGAAAAATATTCTAAGCAGACACAATTAAGAACACAGGAATATAAAAAAAAGTAAGAACAGAGAATAATAGGGTTCTAAATTATAAAGGATAGATAATAATTGGCAAAAAATATAACGCATAGAAATAAAATACATAAATAATTAAGAAATAGGAAACAAAATGAAAGGTCCATGTCCAAACCCTCATGTAATTGTTATATCAACATATATTCTTGATGTGAAATCAAAGGATTATCAACCGATAAAGTAATTTCATATAAAAGAAAATTTAATAGAAAACGAAAGTTCCAAATGAATCATTACTAAAAAAAACGGACAAACGAAAACAAAGGTAAAACAACGAAAAGACAAACAGCCCAAAATCATTTCACAGAAAACTAAAGATTGAGCAATTGAACCCCAACAAAATGCGATGATTACCTCCGGTGCTCTTGAGGGGTCAACAATTTCTGTTCCACAAGTTAAATGTTTTTGATTGCCGTGCATAACAAGTAAATAATCTTAATAAAGTTTATCGACAGGTTGTAGGTATTCCTATTGACACCAATTGTGCCCCTTTTAATAACGGGTTCGTTCCTTTACTGTTCTGAATCACAGTGTATGGCCAAACTCAGTAAACAACCGTCTAATTTCCATTTAATTGATAGGTTTAACAACAATTACCGTTATCTTGATGATATTTTTTTCGTTAAATTATCAAGACTTATACTGCTGAAATTTACCCAAGGAACTTACTTTAAATAAATGAATTATTAACAGCAATAACTGTCCTTTTCTAGATTTAAAGATTTCAGTATTACACCATAAACTCTACACAAACATGATTTTTCTTTCCCTATCGTTAATTTACCCTTTTTTGGATTGTGATGATAATGAGCCATGTTGCCAAATGAATGGGCCATTCGTTTATTACAAAAAAAGTGTATGTTTCAACAAAGAGGTACCAGCCTGTATGATTCTAATTGATATTGTTCCTGTGTTTTTATAGTTTTAGTGAATATATAAATGTGTATTTAGTTTCTGGTGATTTATGTGACTAAGACTGGCATCGTATGTGTTCATTATACGTAACATCTCTCAGAAATTAAAACGTTATGACTTATAATAAAAACTATAACACTTACATGTAACAACATATGACCAAGACCAACACCACTTCAATGAACAAAAAGAAAATGCTGAGATCAGGATTGTAATGGTTTTAAATGTTGTGCAGCTTATTGCCAGGGTATTTTTCTTGCCAGCTCCCGGATTTCGTTACCACAAATTAATTAAAACCTTTACTAAATTTATCCATAGTTACAAAGACATGGTCTGTAAGTTTGGCTGTACCTGTAGATTTTTTTTTTCAAACGGATTAGCACATTCTAAAGTTTACGGTGATGTTGTAAACCGAGCCCGGAAATTTAGATACGATCCGGGTAAACTTATTAATCCTTTAAATCAATTTATTCTAAAAGGTTTCCTATTCAACACTGTAATTGAATCTTTGAATATTGGTTTAATTGGTATACATATTGATTTTTTTATCAGTTAATACCATACTAAATATTACACATATTAACTTTCAATGTACTACAATCTGTCGATACCTATAGTTTGGCATTGCACAATATCACGTTTTTCTGTGACTTTAAATTACGTCTTTACACTTAATCCATTGGATGTTGCATGTGTACTGATTGATATTTTCATCTTTTTTAGATACATGTTTTTTATTAGTTGTTATTGGCTTTGAAATAGCTGTCTGTAACTGCGAGGACTCTCAGAAATGTACTTAAGTGTTTCTTTGTTGTGGGGATGTATAAGTACCCGTCCAGGTCCACTCTGTGTTTTTGTTAGATGTATTTCTGTTTGTACCCATCTGATAAGTGATACATTTTACAACTGAATTTTCGTAGTTTTTTGTTCTTATGTTGTACTGTTACACCACTGTCCCAGGTTAGGGAGAGTTGAGCGCTCACAAACATGTTTAACCCCGCCACATTTTGTATGTGCCAATTCTAAGCCAGGAGCCTGTAGTTCAGTGATTGTCATTGGTTCATGTCTTTCATATTTGTTTTTCGCAAATTATTTTGTTATAAATTATGCCGTTAGTGATCTCAATTTAATTGCATGTTTCATGTTTTTCACCACGGGGCCTTTTACAGACGACCATTGGGTAAGGTTTTTTTCTCATGTTGTAGGTCGTATGGTTGCCTATATCGCCTACATCCACTCCATTTGATATATGCTTCGGCTGGCACCTTGACACTTATGTATATGTATACTATTTCAGCGAAATAGACGCCACACTAAACTCCGAAACTAACAAATAAACCAAAATTTAAATCATCACACAAGACTTATAGAGGATAGAGGTTCCTGACTTGGGACAGGCGAACATAAGTGTATATTTTTAGGTTTAATTTCTGTAGAGGAATGATCACGACTAAATCAGGTTTAGTTACACAAAAGTCTAAGTCTACAAATTTTGAATGATACCATATTTTGAACTCGAAACGTTTGTAGATGTTTCATTAAGAAAAGCGCAGTTTTTCATTATTTTTATTATTCTAATTTATAACAGAAAGCGAATTTTGAAAATGTGTACATATTCATTTTGAAACATCATAGAGAAATGCCTCATTTACCTGGTTCGAAATAAGTAACTGGTTATTGTTGCGATCAAAGAACAAAGCTTGTGGCCGTGTAAGACCGTCTTTCGACAGCAATACTCTGTGTTTGTTTCCGTCTGGCGAAATTACAACGACATTTTTAGAATCAAAGCCTGCTACGTAAACACGTCCGTAATTGTCTACTGTAATACCCCGTGCATTTTTAAGAAATGCTGCAAATTCTAATTTCCATTTTATTGTCCCTTGAAGATCACAGCATGTTACAGAATCATCTTCGTTTATATAATAAAGTTGATCTGACCATGATGCAATGCTGCTATAAATAGACAATGTAACTTTTACTAGCTGTGTTATAGAGTCGTCATCTAAACTTACAACACATAATCCACTTGAGTATCCATTACAGAACAATTTTCCATCTTTGTGCGCAATTCCATAAATCCTAGACTTCACTGGAATTTATTTCTCTATTTTCCTGGTGTTCATATTGATAATCTTAATGCACGAGTAATCAGAGACAGATGTTATGACAAGTGATTGACTGTCCTCTATAAAGTATATATGAGATGTATGCGATCCTACCTGTACTGTAAAATCTAACGACCCGTCGGGTTTAACCACATATATTTGGCCATATTTGAAACAGGAAAAAATCATTCTTCCATCAGGTAGTAAGGAGCAACCAGTGATATCCTTTCCAATTGTATTCACGGTCTTTATTAAGGTTATTTTAAGATCATCAATGGTAAGAACATGTGTGGTAGGCAGCATTATCTGTGCTTGTTTCTCCTTCCTGCTTGTTAGTGTTATATCACTTGTCCTGGTATTCAAAATAATGGTTCCCATCTTGTTCAGAGCGGTAGTTAGAGTTTCAAACGTGTTTTCTATTTCAAAAGAAAGGGTGACATGGTTCAGATTGTCTTCTTTCAACAAGGTTTCTATGAAATTTTCATTTTTTGTAACACCTTGTTGGATGTGTTTCAAAGCCAAGAATGTCTGGAGGTCTGAGGCATGTTGTTTTATTTTATCTAAATTGGTCTTGTATTCTGTAATCTCCCTTTCTTTCTCTTGTATGGATGATACTAAACAGCTGATTTTCTTGTTTTCCTTCTCCTCTGCGATACACAACTCTTTCATCAGACTTTCTTGCAGTTTATCCAGAAGATTGTTAATCAATTTTCGCGTCTGCTCAATCTCTTTTTCTATTTTTGTCTTGTTCTCCTTTAGACTTTTCATGTTGTTTTGCCTATTTTTTCTTAATCTCTGTAAATTTTCTGAAAGTTCCGATAATGTATGTTCCATTTCCAAGAATGCATTTGATGATTTAACATTTTTTATGACGTCCTCAATAGCGTTCAACTCTTTGCAATCGTCATGCGTTTCAACAACACATCGTCTACAGCACGGACAATCGTGTTTCTTACAAAATATAACGTGTTTTTCATTGTGTTTTGAACAAGTTTGAGTAATTTCCAGTATATTGGAAGGTAACTTCTGGTACTCGGAGATTGGAACAATTATATGGTCCCTGGAACCCCTGGAAGCTGCATGATGTTCTTTACACTCTTCACAAAGACCTTCGTCGCATTCTGAACACCAGACCATTGAGGATATATTAATGTTGCGGTATTCACATACTCCACATACATTCAACTTACTCGACATTCTACAAAACAGAAGAATGAAAACTTTGATTTCATGTTTATTGTCTTAATATTCCATTGTATTGTTTATTTGTGTGTTTCCCTGTCCTGTATGTTCTTCCATTTATTTGTATTGTAGTTCTGTCATGTAATGTTGTCATTGTAGTGTTATATTTAACATTGCCATTAAAGCGGGAGGTTTGGCAAGCCTCAAAACCAGGTTCAACCCACCATTTTTCTTAAAAAGTCCTGTATCAAGTCAGGAAATTGGCTATTGTTATAGTTCGTTTCTGTGTGTGTTGCATTTTAGTGTTTCTGTTGTGTCTTTGTTCTCCTCTTATATTTAATGTGTTTCCCTCAGTTTTAGTTTGTAACCCGGATTTGTTTTTTCTCAATCGATTTATGAATTTCGAACAGCGGTATACAACTGTTGTCTTTATTTATTAGCTTGCATATGTTGCGTAGATTCAACCGCTTTTTTAAAACGTTGCATTTTTTCATTTAATCATTCAATAGAGGCATATCGATTCCTCGCCAAATATCAGCCCTATATAATTCCTATTTGTCCAATTTCAACCAAAATGTTATTACTTTTTTGTAATTTTAAGTGTTATTTGTCTCATATTGTTTATGAAAATAAAACTTTATTAATTTGATGCGTCATATATACATGTATTTTCTAATGGTTCTATGTATATATACATCCCTGGCTTTCAAGTGTTGAAATTTGAACGTCCCTTGCGAGGGGAAATGCAAAATGAGAATCAGACGCCTAAAATTTGTTATTTTCGTTTTAAAACAAATCTTTCATGCACATATATTACCACACTACAAAATTCTTGTTACGGTAAGGTGATTCACAAATGCACCTATATAAAAACAAACATTTTAGGAGACATTCCTTACTTGTATGATATTTTGAAATATTAATTAAGACTTACGGTTGGGTGCAGACCAAGCATTACATAAAGTAAACGCACGTTAACGTTGCGTGCACATATTTCGTTAGTAAACTTCATTTTTTGCCTTTACTATAATTACGTTAACGCGGTCAAAATAGAAATATCAAATGTCTACCCGAGTTAACGCGCGTTTACTCTGTGTCCGTGTAGTCAGTGGTAAACGGGCGTTTACTTCAGATTTCACAAGTTTATTTTTACGTGCACTAAAAAGTTAATGGGCGTTTATTACATATTTCACAGGTGTATTTTTACGTGCACTTGAAAGTAAACGCGCGTTTACTTTTCGCGTTAACTGATGGTGTAAATTATAAAAGAAACTTTGTGTACATTTGTTCATTTTTTTATTTTGTCAAAACGACTTTTATCTTGATATTTTACGTATATGTGTTTCAACCCGTTACAATTTAAAATCACTTTTAATTCGAAGTATTAACTTTTCTTATTAGTTCCAATAGCTTTAAATGGCGGATTTCTATATTTTCTTTTCAAACGTTACAAGTAAAAATATCGTCTCACAAAAATATTTCCACTCTGACAGAAACGTCGTAGAAATGCAGGTAAGCCCTTTTTAGAAACTTGAACATTATCTTATCGTTTTAATACATAAAAACTTTTATAATATGATTAATTTTTAATTGATTAAAGAGGTGTAATGTCATTAACTGTAATCGCCAATATGTCAATCGAAAATGGACAGTTGGTCATTTAAGTGTACCTTATCGTGTAATATGTCAGTGTATCCAGGATACGATGACAATCTGTGTTAACGCGCGTTTACTACAAACAAAAATAAAAGACGCGCCTTTTTTTTACGTTAACGCGGATGTAAACACGAAAGTTAACGACCTTTTCCTATTTACCAAATTAAAAGACGCGCTATTTTCGTGTCAACGTGGAGGTAAACGCGTAAGTAAACGCCCGTTTACTTTTTATGTCTACTAAATTTTTAGAGTTAACGCAGAGTTAACGCGGCGTTTACATGTAGTGCACGCTAGTAAACGCCGCGTTAACTATTTCCGTCCGTCTACATCTAATGCTTGGTCTGCACCGAACTGTATATAATTAAAAAAGGATATGAGATAATTGGAAAACCTAAATTTCTATAGCAATAGATATCTTTAATAAAACTGAACTTTTTCTAGAATTATACTCTACAAAGCCTAATAAGCATGTAACCATATTATATAAATTTCTTTCCTAAATTTTTATCGAGTGATTATACAAATTTCCTTTAGCTTAAAATGTTTTTGTTAGATGTATTTCTATTTGTACCCATCTGATGAGTTAAGCCTTTTTTCAACTGATTTTTATAGTTCGTTCTTATGTTGTACTGTTACACCACTGTCCCAGGTTAGGGGAGGGTTGTGGTCCCGCTAACATGTTTAAACCCGCCACAGTCTGTATGTATGTGCCTGTCCCAAGTCAGGAGACTGTAATTCAGTGGTTGTCGTTTGTTGATGTACATATTTGTTTTTCGTTTATTTTTTTGTACATAAATCAGGCCGTTAGTTTTCTCGTTTGAATTGTTTTACATTTGTCATTTCGGGGCCTTTTATAGCTGACTATGCGGTATGGACTTTGCTTATTTTTGAAGGCCGTACGGTGACCTATAGTTGGTAATTTCTTTGTCATTTGGTCTCTTGTGGAGAATTGTCTCATTGGCAATCATACCACATCTTCTTTTTATTAACAAGTATCGTTCACTTGTATATATTGTTGTTTGTCACATCTTATAAGTTACATACATAGTATATATTCGTGATGTCAACAATCTTATGTTAGCTTAGACAATTTGGGTTGAGACGTACATACATATAATGTGTCAAGCTGATGAACGATTAATTTCATTGTAAGTTGCATATGAAATTTAATTCCAATTTTATTGTCAATGGGAATAAAATGGGATGGATGTGTGTGTGTGTTTTTCTTTAAATTGATGGATTTGTTTTTGTGGGGCAGGTCTTATTTAGTATAATATTTTTTATTACATAGCATTTTTCTGATTCTTTACTGCTGTCCAGTAGGTGTTTAACCACTTTTGTTTTAAATATTATTAACTGTAAAAACAAAAGTAGCATAAAATGAAGTTTAAAAGATTAAAAGTCCCCTGCACTTTGTTCTAAATACCGGTTTATAAAGGATCCAGTAATTTCTAATTTAACACTGGAAGGTTGATGTAGAACGTTTTCCGAACAGAAAATTTGCGTTAATATGTTTTGGAGATTTGTTTGGAATACATGATATTGTCATTCACTAAAATACAGTTATAAACTAGAAAAGTTCATCTTTTAGGTCAAAAATACCTTTTTTTCTTATTAAAATTTTCTTTAAAAAACCCGGACCATTTGTCGAAAAATCAAGACAGTTGCTCTCGAAAAAGCACGGACAATAACAAACACTGAATTGTTTGGTTAAATAGAAAGAAATTGTGCTTCGCTGTTCCTCAAAACATGTATAGTGTTCAAAATAAGATGGATAGTCATGTAAAAAAACTATTATAATTACGAAATAGCAGTTAATTGATCTTATCGCATGTTATCTCACTCGAAAAACCCCGATCTACACTCGAAAAAAATGGACCAACTCACTCGAAAAACCACGATCCTAGCCGGACACAATACCTACCGTGATTTACATGAATAATGAAGGGCGGTCATACATGTACGATTTCACAACAGCACTGCGACATTCCTTTCACAATTTGAGAAATATATAAAAATGAGCTCCGACAAATAGAACTCGTCACAGCGGTGCCTTGGGTGAAATTAATAATAACGTGGACTTAAAATTATCAACTAAATGTTCATTCAATAAATAAAGTCAAATAAGAAATTGAATCAATATTGGATGTAATAAATTTTCTATGTATTATAAGTCTAACTTCTGTATAGTTTATAAACTGAAATGATTATGAAATTTTGAAATAAATCTTTTTCAAACAAGAAAGGGAACGACCATTTAGCTTATAGGGATCGAGTTGTTTTGTTGTTGTTACGCAAATCCCGAATTTATTTGTCAAGGACTATGCATTTGTATTTCAATTAAATGGCAAAATCTCTTAATCAGAACATATTATGTTTTCTTCTGCCTGATCACAATGTTTTTTTCTGAAAAAGTTAACATAGTAAATGAAAAACAAATTGAAAATGTTTACAAATATTTAAAAAAAAACAACATAAGAATCGCTCTATTGCATGTCTTTTGTCTCATTTATGTTGTCAGTGTTTCATGATTCTATGTTATAACTAAACAAAGTTTTATTAATATGATATCCGATTGAACACATGAATAAAATTGAGAATGGAAATTGGGAATATTGCTAAGAGACAACAACCCTACCAAAGAGCAGACAACAGCCGAAGGCCACCAATGGGTCTTCAACGCAGCGAGATAATCCCGCACCCGGAGGTGGTCCTCAGCTGGCCCCTAAATAAAATTGTGTACTAGTTCAGTGAAAATGAACGTCACACTAAACTCTAAAACATATAAATGACTTAAAATTAAAAAACATACAAGACTAACAAAAGCCAGAGGCTCCTGACTTGGGACAGGAGCAAAAATGCGGCGGGGTTAAACATGTTTTGTGAGATCTCAACCATCCCCCTATACCTCTAGCCAATGTAGAATAAAGAAACACATAGCAATACGCACAGTAAAACTCAGTTTAAAAGAAGTCCGAGTCCGATGTCAGAATAGGTAACAAAAGAAACTAAGCAAAATGACAATGATACATAAATTATCAAAGGACTACTAGCAGTTACTGACATGCCTGCTCCAGAACTCATTTAAACTGATTGAAAGATTATGTCTTCATCATATGAAATTTAGAATGTTGTAATGTAGATTTATGCATTGTTTAGCACATTTTTAGTTTCGCATTCAATAGGTCAAACAGTAGCTTCATACTTCAACTCTACTTCTATTGATTAAATTTGATACACATAAAGATAGTTACAAAATTATTTGATCAAAAAAGTTTTTAACAAAACAACGTTATTTGGTTAGGTTACACCAACATTTAGTGCTTCTTGCAATGCAGTCAATATTATTTTTATTTTCTTATTACGTTATGTGGTGTATGTAAAGCAGTCATAAAATAGAAGTCCTACATGTAAAGTTCTAAATGAAAGAAATATACTGAAATATTACCTCCACTGCAAAAAAAATAATATATTAGTTGTAGTTCTACCTGAAGGAATAAAGGTTGCAGATATTTTTCTCAAAGAATCATCTATTATAGCAATAGTTATAACAGTTTCCAGAGAACTTTCTGTTAGGATGAACAAACGTACGCTGACAAAATGTAATTCTCAATTTTAAAAGTTTGTTTCTATTTGATGAGGGTCTGGATTGGATTTACATAATAGAGAATAAGTCACCCCTACAACATAAAAATGGACCCCCACCCCCTTAAGAATAAATAAATTAAAATAGATAAATAGGCGGAAAAAATAAGATTGGAGAATAAAAGGTTGCTAAAATTGATTAAATAAAAAAAGGAGTTCCAATGTCCCCTGCGTTGCATATATTTTATCTACCCCAGGTACAAACGAAAAAACTAAAACAGCACTTTTTTTGTTAATTTAAATCTTTTGATCAATATCTTAGAGAAATGAAAGCTTCAGAGCATATGCAATGTGATTTCCATTATAATAAACATTTCCAAGGGGCATAACTCGATAAAAATATTTCATCAGCACTTATTTTTGAAAATGTCCAAGACATTGCTGATATAAATCTATGACAGAATTTTCATAAAATACTTGCAAGAATTGAACGTATGAGAGCGCTAACTATGCAATTTTCCGTATAATCAATATTTACAAGGGCATAACTCTTTTTAAATAATTATTCATCAAATTTTTGAACTCATCAGCGACATTGATGATATAAACCTATAATATGAATTTCAAAATATCTGGCAAGTAATGTACACATTTTAGCGCTCATTTGGCAATTTTCGATGTAATTAATATTTTCAAGGGCCATAACTCTTTTAAAAATTATTGATCTGCACTGATTTTCGAACTAGTCAAATGCATTGCTTATATAAACCTTTGATTAAAGTTTAATAAAATTTTGGCAAGAATTGTACACGTGAGAGCGCTGACAAAGCAATTTTCTTCATAAATAATGTTTCCAAGGGGCATGACTCTTTTATTAATAATTGATTGGCACTGATGTTTGTACTCTTCAAAGACATTGCTTATATAAACCTACTATATAAGTTTCTTAAAAATCTTGCAAGAATTGAATACGTGAGAGCGCTAACGATGCAATATTATATATAGTTAATGTATCCAAGGGGCATAACTCTCTAAATAAACAGCTGCGCCATAAGCGCATGATACGCCCGTCGTCTTGTGTGTGAATTTTTATGCAATAAGCATAAATAGTTTCTGACATACGGCGTGACATGCTAAAACCCCCCTTTTTTTTTTACAAAAAACTCAATATCTCTAAAATAAAATTTTGAATCAAAACCAAAAAGTATACAGATCTTAAGATTAATATAACTAAGAAGTGTGTAAAATTTTAAGAAATAATCATAAATCGTTTTTGAGATACTGCGCGACATGTGAAAAACCCCTCCCCCTTTTTTTACAAAATACTCAATAACTCAATAATAAGATTTTGAATCATCACCAAAAAGTATACAGATCTTAAGGTTAAGAAGTGTGTAAAGTTTTAAGCAATAATCATAAACTGTTTTTGAGATACGGCGCGACATGTGAAAAACCCCTCCCCCTTTTTTAACAAAATACTCAATATCTCTAAAATAAAATTTTGAATCATAACCAAAAAGAATACAGATCTTAAGATTAATATAACTAAGACGTGTGTAAAGTTTAAAGCAATAATCATAAATTGTTTTTGAGATACGGCGCGACATGTGAAAAAAAAAAACACACACCTGTTTTAGTTACTAAGTCCCGTAACTCAAAAAGTTTTAATCTTATTTTCACCAAAAAGTATACAGATCGTTTGACCATCATAAGAAACAACTATGTTAAGTTTCATGAAATTTGGATAAGTCATTCTCAAGTTACGGTGCGACATGTTTACACCGGACAGACAGACGGACAGACGGACAGACGGATACCGGACATTTGTATACCATAAAACGTCCCGTCAAAAATTGACGGGCGTATAAAAATTATTAATCGGAATTGATTGTCGAACTCGTCTAAGACATTGCTGTTATAAAACTATGATATAAGTTTGATAAAAATCCTACAAAATTTGTACACGTGAGAGCGCTAATAAGACCGGACGGATGGACGCAAAGACGAACTAACGGACAGACAGAAAGACGGATGCCCAGTATTTTATTTTCCCTGCATCGCGTTGCGCTGGGAACAAAAAAGGAAAATATTGGGCACAAAAATATATATTGTAACCAAACAACCAAGAGACCTTTAATTGGTCGGTACAATAATGTATTATGAGAGTATTATATTACAATGTATAACAGAACCAATACTTGAATCATATTTCATGTCAGAACTTCCTGTGCAAATGCTTTCGTTCATGGTTTTATTTAGAAAGTAATCTGCATTTTGGTTGATTTATTGATGAATGTTAAAAACATAAAGTAGCAGATATTTCCTATTCAAAATTATAACATTGGGGTTGATTATGTTTCTTTTTGTAATCATAATTAATCAAACTAAAAAAGGTTAAATGCAAACAGAAAACGAAAGTAGAATGAGAAAGTCAACGATTGACAATAACTAAATTATTTATAAACTCTCATTTTGATCAAATGTGGTAATCACGAGTCAATTACACATCAGGAGTGTTATTTGTAAGTGTTTTAAATGTTAAAAACAATGTTATACCTGAGATTCACCAAATCAGTACACCCAGCAGCGGCAGATAATTTGTCATGTGACCTAGATTTTTTATAAAATTATTGCGGTTTATTTGAACGTACTATTTACTTACGGAAACAAGAATGTTTGAAATTCTTTTATGTACCCTGACAAACATTTATGCTTAGCAAAACTTGTATGGTTTCTATTGTTAAGCAACTGGCAATTTGTACATGTTACATGAATAAAAAGAGATCTGGAGTAGACAGAAAGATATAGGAGGGTCTTGATGGTGTGTTCATCATTTCTTACTGTTTCTATTCTTTATCTTTTTTTTCAATTTTTCTTTATTTTTGTTCTTATTCTAACACCCCATTACTCTCATTTCTTTTTTTCTTTTTTTTTGGGGGGGGGGGGGGGGAGGGGGGGAGGGGGTCTCTTCCTCATTTGTTGGCCTTTAATAATGTACTATATTTTCAATTCTGTACTTTTTAACCTTTTGTTTCTCTATTTCTTAAACAGCGTCCCGATCCTCATTTAAAAAACAATGACACACATAACCAAAATACATCTATGGCTGCTACTAAACTGTTTTTATGTTCTTTTAATTCTTTAGTTCTCTAACTTCATCCTTATTTGTTTTTGTCAGAACTCTGAGAGTTGAGATCTTACAAAACATGTTTAACCCTGCCGCATTTTTGCGCCTTCCAAAGTCAGGAGCCTCTGGCCTTTGTTAGTCTTGGGTGATTTTTAATTTTAGTGCTTTTATATATATTTCGGAGTTTAGTATGACGTCCATTGTCACTGAACTACTACACATTTTTGCTTAGGGGTCAGCTGATGCACGCCTCGTGATGTGGGATTTTCACCCTGCGTTGAAGACCCATTGCTGCCCTTCGGCTGTTTTCTGCTCTATGTTTGGGTTATGTCTCTTTGACATATTCCCCATTTCCATTCTCAATGTATGCTCTTATTCGTAGTTTTTGAGACAGATGCGATTAATTTTTGATACGTGAGCTTTTTTAGTGAAAATATACAATATAGATATAATAAGATGTGGTATGAGTGCCAATGAGACAACTTTCCATCCAAGTCACAATTTGTAAAAGTAAAAACCATTATAGGTCAAAGTACGGTCTTCAACACAGAGCCTTGGCTCACACCGAACGGCAAGATATAAAGGGACCCAAAAATGACTAGTGTAAAACCATTCAAACGGGAAAACCAACGGTCTAATCTATATAAAAAACGAGAAACACTTATGACCCACATCAACAAAAGACAACCATTGAACATCCGGTTTCTGACTTAGGACAGTATGTATACATGTAAGTTGTTCGGTAAGTTGGTTAGCTATGAAAATGCATAACACGGTTAAGCAGCACGTTATCCGAAATATCAATTCATTGTTGTTGTTTAACGTCCAGAGGCAAATATAGCATGCATGTTCAGGATGAGACCATGTTAACAATTGATAAAATTATCAACTTCAAAGGTTTTGCAAGGTAGGTTTTAATCAGGAGGATGGTTTTATAGATGAACGTAGGAACATTATGAGCAGTATGAACAACAGTGACCTATACATATAATAAAATTAAATATATCGAATTGCAATATGCTTGTTTAACGTCAAGTGACAAGAATTAAATGCACATTTGGATAAAAAAAAAGATGTGTTATGAATGCCAATGAGACAACTCTTCACAAGAGACCAAATGACACAGCAATTAAAATAGCTATAGGTCTCCCGTACGGCCTTCAACCATGTGCAAAGCCCATACCGAACTTTGGACAGGGACATACATACAGAATGTTGAGGGTTAAACATGTTAGCGGGATCTCAACCCTCCCCTAGCCTGGAACAGTGCTGTAACAGTACAACATAAGAAAGAATTATTAAGATAACCAGGATAACAATAAACTAAGTGGAAAACTAAGATACAACAGGAGCACTGGAGTGCAACAAAAGAAAACGCCAACGAACTATTTGAAATCAACTACCATATTCCTGACTTCGTACAGGACATTTTAAGTAGAAATGGTGGGTTGAATCTGGTTTAGCTAAGCAGGTCCTTTTCAACTAAGCGTCGTATGAAATGTAATAAAACTTTCAACACTTTTTTCACACAAACATAATTAAAGAGCTGTTCCTTTGCTTTTTGTTTGGGTATTTAGGGTGTAGGTACTGATTTTGTGTCATGGATAGATACACCATATCCTTTGTTTTTTCTATTATATTATAATTATGTTCACATATTAGCCGATCAGGTTTGATGACACAGATATCCTAAGTACAATTCTTGAAATTTTTATTATCATTCACAAGTTTATAAAATTCAAACAATTTGCGATTTCTTATTTCCCAATCAAATTTCCAAATATAATATCGACGTAAATCCAAACCATTGCAAACACACGTATTAAAAATGTTAACAATTGGACTCTCAAAGCATATACTAATTTCGATTCATATTTTATAAACCGGACAGAAAACACATGTCTACAATCTATGCTTATATTTTGTGCAATCTTCGGTTATAACAAAACGTAACACATAGAAAAAAAAACCAACCAATACAAACAACAAAATCAAAAACGAAAAAATCAAAACATAGCACAAAAGGAAGACAGACGGACGGACGGACGACAAAAAATACCCGAACTAACAAAATTCGGAGTTAATGTTTTGATAAGTTTTCTGACCTGATGTGATTATGTACAACATATTGATATATAAGTAAAGTAAATGCCAATGAATTATTTGCAGAGGTCAGACTGGTAATTGTCTTTGGTAATACAATCATGCTTATCTGTGTTGTATATGAGGGTCTTAATGGGGTATAATATAGAAAATTATTATATGCAAACAAAATAAAGAATAGACAAAATTAGTCATAATAATAAAGAGTAAAGAGCAATGGTAGAAAAATATAAAGGATAGAGAAAAATGACATAAATAATTAAAAATAGAAATATATATATATGAATGACCTTCATCCAGACTAGTATCGAACAGATAAAATAGTTTTTAAAAGAAAAATATTCAGAAAAACGGAAGTTTAAAATAAAATCTATTAATTATTGTCATCGGATAGACAAGAATGAGACCAACAAGACAAAATCCAAAACTACAAAGGCCCAAAAATAACAAGAGAAGAAAGACCTCTGTTAATAAATTGGAGATATAAAAGGGTTGATAAAAAAATCATTACTAAAGAAAAACGGACAAAACCAAGAACTTATTAGGTAAAATAAAGAAAAGACAAACAGTCCAAAAACATTACACAGAAACCTAAAGATTGGGCGACATGAAGTCCACCAATATCCGTGGATTACCTTGGATGCTACTGAAGGGTTAACAATTACTGTCACTAGTTAAACGCATTTATATACTAGTAATGGTTTACTTTTACAATTTGTGACCTGGATGGAGAGTTGTCTCATTGGCACTCATACCACATATTCTTATATCTATATAACAAGTTAAGGATCGTGATAAACTTTTGAAGAGATTACTTAAATTTGTCCTTTGAACTCTTGTTGACATCGTTATCAGCAGTAATCCGTTCATGAAAATCATCATTGATGATTTTGTATCTTTATTTAGATCGTTTACCTTATTAACAGTTGGTAGACGCCTTATTTTATGTATTTGTATATACTTTATAATACGAGTAATGAGTCACTTTGGAAGAACACCCCTCCTTCAAGAATGGTACGGCTACAATTGTGGTATATAAGCAGGAGCGATTTCTTACTCTCGACCATGCGAGGGCTGTATAGCCAGTCAAAGTCGTTATACACTACCATCATCATCACTCTTTGTCAATCGTCTGAAGTCTACGAAGACGATGACCATGATACGTACGGTACGTGATTGTTAGAGATTGTATTTTCTAATATGGAATTGCATTCAAGATGTAATGCAACAAAAGACAAGGTTGTTGCCTGTTCTTTAAGACTTGTACAAGCTGTAGTTTGTCAAATATGAATTTTACCATATAACACAAGTCGATGTTTGTAGGGTACCAAAATGAACCATTAAGACAAGTCGTATCTTGTAGGGTACCAAAATGTTTCATTAGGACAAGTCGTAGCTTGTAGGGTACTGCATTGTACCATTCGGAAACGTTTGTCCTGACCAAGGACAAATTGCTATTTGTATATAGGTTAAAGTGGAATGATTAATGTATAGATAAATTACACTGTTGAAGCAAGTAAGACCAGTTGTATATATTTCAGTTCGTTGATATCAATTTATGAATAAAGATTACTCGTTTGATACTTTGTAAATTGAACATTTCGGATCCAGTATCAGAATGGTCACGAAACCTATTCTATAATAAAAATAGACACGCATACCCTGTTTAGACGGTTCCCATCTAACTTTATATTCCTGAATTATTTGACGCATGCTTCTAATTAGCAAACTAAAAACAGGCATCACTCATGGAAATCATGATAGTCAACGTCAGCCCTGGAATATCATATTGAGAAATCGAGACTCCATTTGCAAGTACAGAGGGAATGTTGCTCCACAGAAATGGAAAATTTACAAAGGACAAATTGAATCATTTCTTTTATAGATGTTTAGTTCTCAACTGATCAAACCGATACAGTTTTAGATTTCAGTCAAGATATGAAAAATACCTAACTGTGACACCGTGGCAACACCGCCTTCACTGTGATATGGCCATTTGACCAACTAGGCAATAGAAATATAAAGCTTTTGTAAGTCGGGTTGTTGCTTTCCTCGTCGGCTTTATATAGCTGATCTGCAAGTTACACCATCTAATTGTCATGTCAATTTGGATTAAAAAAAAATGTAAAATCAAAATAAGGATATCTGCATGGTATGATTGCCAAAGAGACAACTATCACCAGAGACCTAATTATTATTTCTTGTGTCCAAATGAAGTAGATATTAGGGACTATGTTTCGCCTTAAGGCCTTCAACAAGAGCAAAACCACATTCCGAATAACAGATTATAAAAGGTCATTTATAAATAATACATATTCTTATTGTTTAATTATGTTATTCAGTAGCAGTCCTATTGACTAGATTTTATACTTATA